GTGGTAGAGCGCTAGCCTTGAGCTGAAGAACTGAGAGACAGTGCCCAGGCCCAGAGTTCAGGCCCCAGGACCGGAGACAAAAAAAAAAAAAAAAATCCTTATTGTATCTTATTGTAACATGCCAGGCTCTTAGTAACTCTTATGGTATCTCATTGTAACAAGGTTCTACCAGGCCAATTCTGATACTAGAGGAATATCTACCACTTCAGAACAAGACTGACTTGGACTGTTGTAATTATACATACATCCTCATACCCTGCCCCTCCAAGTCTCCTATTTCATTGAAGGCCAATGTTTATGGCAGGAGATGGTGGATTTAACATGATTTGTAATTTCTTTCTCTTCCATATTTCTGGTCTAATAAACTTTCCTGTCATTTGTACTAAAAAAAAAAGTTTTTAAAAATAAATGATGCAAACAAAGGCTGAAGGAGAGGTTCAGCCGTGCCTACCAAGTGCAAGGCCCAGAGTTCAAACCCCTAGGAAAAGAAATGTTTATGAGATTCAGACAAGTTTAAGAATTCTGTTCTTGTCCAGGCATGGTGGCTTACTCTTTTAACTCTAGACACTTCGGAGTGGAGATCAAGAGGATTGTGGTTCAAGGTCAGCCAGAGCAAAAAAGTTTGAGAAACTACATCTCAACCAATAAAAACTTGGTACTGGTATTGATGTACTGGTATAAGAAATCCTAGTAAGACTAGAAGTATAGGTAGGAACCTGTCCTGCCTGGAAGGAACTCAAGACCTCGTTTGAAAAACAAAGCAAAAATATCTGGGACTCGAGTGATACAGTACCCACATAAGTACAGGGCTGAGTTCAACCCAAAGTACTTAAAAAAAAACATGGGGCTGGGAAGGTGGCTCAATGGTAGAGCGCTTGCCTTGAATGCATGAGGCCCTGGGTTCGATTCCTCAGTACCACATAAGCAAAAAGCAAAAAGCCAGAAGTGGTGCTGTGGCTCAAGTGGTAGAGTGCTAGCTTGAGCTGAAGAGCTGAGGGACAGTGCCCAGGCCCAGAGTTCAGGCCCCACGACCAGACCCAAAAAGTAAAAAATAAAAATAAAAAAACAAAAAATAAACAACAAAACATGCCTTGCATGCATGAGGCCCTGGGTTCAATTCTTCAGCACCACATAAGCAGAAAAAGCAGGAAGTGGCACTGTGGCTCAAGTGGTAGAGCACTAGCCTTGAGCTGAAGAGATGAGGGACAGCACTCAGGCCCAAAGTTCAGGCCCCGTGACCTACAAAAACAAAAGCCAAAAAACAAAAACAAAACCCTTGTTCCATCCATCAAATACTTTGAAAAATAAATTTACAATTAATCTACCCAGTTAAACACCTTAGTTATTATGTATCCATACACAACAGTGTATCAAATTTACCAATATCCAAAATCCCGGTCATCTTGCCCACCAACTGTTTTTCCTTCTATATTAACCTTCTGAATGACTGCTCAATCTTCTTCTCACTCACTGCAAATTCTAAGTCTAGCATTCTCTTTCATTCTTCATATTTAAAGAATCCCAATGATTGTGAGTAATCCAAATATTTCTATGGTGATGCTTTAGGTTTCTCATTATTTTTCAATTAACTACTATTTGAAGAGGCTTCTAACTGGTAACTTTGCCTTTAAAATTCTTCCTTCTAACCTATACTTTACCCAGCCACTCAAATTATCTTTCCAAAACATATGTCACTTTCCATACTTAAAACCCTTGGGGGAGGGGGAACCCAAAGCTATAGACTAAGAAATTTACCTTAAATTTGACAGAACTTAGATGCGAAGCTTAAGCTAGAACTCAAGCCGCCTGCTTGCTAGTCCAGGTGCCCTGGTTTATACCCACACTAAGACAACACAAAGTGGAATTTCTCACTGCCTAATAGCGAAATGCCTCTGACTTTATTGCATCACGTGTTTTTTTTAATTCTTTTTGCAACTATGACATTGACCCTGATGCCAAAGTGAGATGGAAGTATGTTTCCTTAACCCCAAGTTAATAACATTGATGCGTTACGTGCATTGCAGAGCCTCTGAAGAAGTGGGGTAAAGTTGACTAGACTAATTGAACAGTCTCTTCTTGAGGAACTCGTGCGGTGGGCTGAGGTGCGCCGAGGCTGTAAACACAGGCCAGCGGGCGGCCCGAACCGGCCAGCGGAGAAGCCGGCGGCTCAGCCCGGGTGAGTCCACAGCTGTCCCCATTCCAGACCAAAAAAGTAAGTGGAGGCAGGAAAGGAGACAGTGGTCCCAGCCGAGCCGTCCGGGGCCGGGCCCCCGCGGCGTCCGGCGCCCCCTCACAAAGGCCGGGCAGGCCCGGCGGCGGGGGCAGAGCGGGAGCCCCGCCCGGGGAACGCGCTCACTCCGGCGTCCTCAGGACGGTCCAGTCTCCACGCCCCCCACCCCCCAAACACGCAAAGGCGTCGAAACAGGTCCCCCGAAACCCCGCGTGGGGCAGGGCCGAGGCCGCGGGGCTTCAGCCCGGGCCGCTCCCAGGCCGCCAGATTAAGGACGGCTTCCCCAGGGGGGAGGCTTCCCTGTCCTTCTCAGGGGCAAGCTCGGCCCCAGCGCGCGGCGCGTCCGGAGGGGGTCCCCAGCTCCGTCTCGGGGACCCCTCGCTGGGCGGGCGTGGCCAGTCTCACCCCGAAGCTCACCTTCCCGTCCGGGGCAGCCGTCTGTCCGTCAGCGGGTGCCGAATTCCGTCCACATACGGCGTCTTCCGGCTCCCGCCGGAAGCAGCTCGAGCGCGGGACAGGAAGTTTGGCCGACCCCCACGCACACCCCCACCTCCTGCCTACAGCCGCCCGGCCTGACGGCTCCGAGCCCGAGCCCACGAGCAGCTCGCCGACTCCGCCTGGCCCGCAGCGAAGGGCGCGGCCCGCGACCGAGGAACTGCGCGGGTCCCGGCCGGTCACTCACTCTGGCCTTCGGGGCTTCTGGGTCTGCGAAGCCCGAAAACCGGGTCGGGGCGGTCTGGCCGTGACGTCACCGCCGCCCAGCCGGCGAGACCCGGTCCCGGGGCAGCGACCTCGAGCCTCTCCCCGTCCGCAAGGAAACTTAAAAGCATGGAGCTCAGCGTTGCGCGTGGGACTGGTATGGATTCAGGCTCGTGGAGAAGCCCCGGGGCCGGGTGCAGTGCTGAGAGGCTGGAAGGGCCGGCCCCTGGCTGGGGTCAGCCCGTGTTAACCGGACCGGCTTTTGAGAGCGCTGGTCTTGGTGCCCGGGGTGGCGCAGGAGAATACGGAACTTGAAAATAGAGGCGGCGGGAATTAAAGCAGGGTTTTTGTTCCGTTTTGTTTCGGTTGTGGGGCTTGAACTCTGGGCCTGAGCTCTTCAGCTCAAGGCGGGCGCTCCACCAACTTGATCCACTTCGTTTTCTGGTGGTTAATTGGAGATGAGTCTCATGGACCTTCCTGCCCTGCCCGGACTGGCTTTGAGCCACGATCCTCAGCTCTCAGCCTCCTGAGTAGCTAGTGTTAGCAGGCCCTCCGCCCCTCCCACTTCACAGTTTGTATCGGTCCCCAGCTGCATCAGCGGAACACCTCCACCCAAACCTGAGCTCCAACCTGCTTCTCCCGAGGCTCCCACCAGTTTCTCCGGGATAGGTGGGCATTTCTACTCTATAGGTACGCAGAGTACCTCCCACCTCTAGTCCGAGTGTTAGAAGGACGAAGCTGGATGCTCCCGTGAGGGAGACAGCCCCTCTAATAAACCTCCTTCTCCAGTATGTGACGGTGTCCGCGTTGTCTTCTGGAATGGCTGCTTACAGCTAGGATTACAGGTGTGAGCCACCGGTGCCGGCCAAATGTGTGCTTTTTTAAAGAATTCCTTTACCTGGTGGCTCATACCTGTAATCCTAGCTACTAAAGAGGCTGAGATCGAAGACACCACCAGCAGGAAAGGCCGTGAGACTTATCTCCAACTAACCACCAGAAAACCGGAAGTGGAACTGTGGCTCAAGTGGTAGAATGCTCGCCTTGAGCAAAAAAAAAAGCTCAGGGACAGAGCCCTGGCCCTGAGTTCAAGTCCCGTGTGTAACGGGTGAGAGAGGAGTATTGGGTACGCAGTGTTTTAGGAGATTATTTCTCTTTAGACAACCAAGAGTTTGAGGTAGGAGGCATTTTTTTTTAACTTCGAAACTCAAGCAAATCACAAATGGAAAAGTAGCTTGGGGAGTTACCAATATACAGAGAAGAGTCCCTTCAGGAAAGAAACAAGCATTAATAAGTACATCAGTGCATCTTTAGCATTCAGGTTTACAACCATTGGTTAATTTGCCCAGTCTCATGATTTTCTTAAGGTGTCTCTGTTTTCTTGTGTTTTGTGGCGTTTTTGGTGCTCAGGATTGAATTGAAGGTCACTGCTGAACCAGTGAGCACCACCTCAGCCGCCGCCACCACCCTCTCCTCCCCATTGTTTTTACTAGTGAATTCCAAGTGATATTCGTGTCTTCTTGCCCTCCATTTTAGGACTATTTGACAGTGTAACTGCTGAATATAAAATAAGCATATGTTCCTATCAATATACAGTGTAGTATTAAGGTGCTATACATTAAATTATTCGGCAAAACACACATCTGGTCTCTTGGTCTCTCCATAAACTCAGCTTACATTATTTATCATCTCATACTATTCTGAACCAAGATCCTCTGCTCTTACATCCCCAAAAGTTTTCCACCCTCAAGCTTTACATACATGTTACACCATTCTCTTTTCCATCTATATGGAAAGACCATCCCAATTCTGTTGTTACGCAAGTTTCAATTTAAGAATTGTAAGACTTTTTTCAAATAAATGTTTACTGTTTCTCACAATAGAATGATTATTCAATTTTAAATACAAGTTAATTTTAAAAAACGATTGCATATGACCAATTAACAGTTGTATTAAATCTCCAGTAGTTCCAGAATATCTGATACAAATATCACCTATTAGTTTTAATCAGAACAGTAGCCAGGTATGGTGGTACATTCCTGTATATCTCTAATTCCAGCAGCTGGAATTAATCCCAGCACTCCTGCTAAAGTAGAATCATAAGTTCAAGGTCAGCCTGGACTACATGGCAAGAGCTTGTCTCAAAAGCAAAACAAATGTTGTAAGTAATCACGTTAAATATAGTGTGCATATGTGAAATAGTTAGATAAAACAGAATTATGTGACTAAACAGCTTAATGATTACTAAAATATCATTAAGAACTGTTTATATTCTTAAATTTTAAGGCATAGCTCAAGTGGAAGAGCACCAACTGTCCTTGAGAGAAAAAGCTCAGTGACCTGATGCTCTGAGTTTAGCCCCATACCATCTCGAAAAGAAAAAAACCTGAAAAATGTTACTTCCTTGATGAAGATGTACATAGATTATAAAGAAGCATCTTCTGAAATGCAGACTATCTGCTTTCCAATGTTACCTCCTGTCATCATGGATTGGAATGCAGCTGAAAATTTAAAAAAAAAAAACAAGAATCAGGTTATCTGAAAAGAAAAATGTCACCATCATTTTTATCAGAAAGACAAAATTATTTTGAATGATTTTTTTCAACAATATTAATTTATACATAAAAAGCTTATAAAAAAGGAAGCCCCACATGGTGGCACATGCATGTAATTCTAGTATCCTAAAGTCTGAGGCAAGATGATTCTGAGTTAGCAATTACCAGGTGAGTTCAAAGCTAACCTAGGATATATAGTAAATATGTCTCAAAAGCCAGAGGAAGTAGAGGAGGGGAGTCTGTCATAAAAGAAACACAACTGTTAAAATGTCATCTGGGTACCAGTGACAGAGGTCTGTAATCCTAGTTTTTCAGGAAGCTGATATCTGAGAATCACTGTTTGAAGCCAGACTGACCAGGAAAATCCATCAGATTCTTACCTCCAATTAACCAGCTTTTTGAAGCTGAAGTAGAGGAGTGGTTCAAGCGGTAGAGTTCTAGCCTAAGTGTAAAAGCTAAGGGACATTGCTTGGGCCCTGAGGTCAAGCCCTAGTATTGGCATTAAAAAAATAAATAAAAATAAAAAACACATGGGCTATGGATATAGTCTAGTGGCAGAGTACTGGTGTACCATGTGCATGGCCATGAGTTTGACCTCCAGCAACATAAAAACAAAAAGAGAAAAATGAGCATGAGTTTGAGCTCCAACACCACAAAAATAAATATAAAGAGAAAAAATAATCTTGGGTATAATTCAGTGGTAGAACCAGTATTTAGTATGCAAGAGGCCAAAGGTTCAATTTCTAGAACCAAAAAAAAAAGAAAAAAGGAAAACAAACTCATCTGACAGCATTAAAGGAATGAGCACGTGTATATAATCTACATTTATCTTACCTCCCATGTTTTCCAATCCATTTATCACAGTCTCTTTGATCTATAAATAAAAATAGCTAGATTTAGTAAACTCCTATGTTTTTACTTAGCAATTCCCACTTTTGTAAAAGGCAACATACTATTTAGAATTTTCCATCTAAAACTACTTATTTCTATGGATAACCCAGAAATGTTTATTGTTGATATTTTTCCAACAAAATTTTATATGCCCATTGTCTAACCCTCAGTTATTAACAGATCACAAGCTATATATTTGTTTAAAAAAAATTCAGCCAGGCACCAGTGGCTCACCCTTAATTCTAGCAACTCAGAGGACTGAGACCTGAGGATCATGGTTCAAAGCTAGCCTGGGCAGGAAAGTCAGTAAGAGTCTTAATTTCCAATTAGCCACTAAAAAGCTATGGCTCAAGAGGGAGAGCACTGGTTCAAGAACATCCTAGAAGCTGGGGGCTGGGGGCTATGCCTGTAATCCTAACTACTCAGGGATCAGGAGATTTGAAGCCAGCTCTGGCAGGAAAGTGGGGCTTGAACTCGACCTGGGCGCTGTCCCTCAGCTCTTAAGCTCAAGGCCAGTGCTCTACCACTTGAGCCACAGCGCCACTTCCTGTTTTCTAGTGGTTAATTGGAGATAAGACTTTCCTGCCCAGGAAAGTCTTTGAACTGAGATCCTCAGATCTCAGCCTACTAAGTAGCTGGGACTACAAGCAAGAGCCACCGGCGCCCGGCTATGAGACTCTTATCTCCAATTAATCACAGAAAAAGCCAGAAGTGGTACTGTGGCTCAAGTGCTAGCTTTGTGCAAAAGGAGCCCAGAGATAACACCCAGGCCCAAAATTCAAACCCCAGGATCAGCCAAAACAAACAAACAAAAAAACACTCAAAAGGATGAACAAAATGATTCATACCTTTAATCCAACAAGGATCTTAGTTCAAGCCAGAACGCTTTTCAACAAATAGTTTCCAACCTATGATCCCATGTATTTCAGGAAATGTAGATAGAAGGATCCAAGTCCAGGCTGGCCCAAAGACAAAAACTGGGATAGTCTATGTAAAAAAATTACCTAAAGCAAAAGGGCCGATGTGTGGCTTAGTAGCTCAAAGCCGATTTGAACCTCAGCCCAAATCCTCCAGAAAAAGAACATCTTAGGAGCTTAGTAATTTGTCCTGTGACCCTTCAGCACAATGTTCTTTTTGCAGGCCCAGTGGGGAATGACCTCCTGATCCCTGAGTGTCTCAGGAATGGACTTAGAAGCATGCCATGTGATGCTACCTTAAATTCAGAATAATCTGCATTATAGCTAGAATAAACTTTAAATTACTTTTATTGATTTTTTTTTTGATGGTTATGGGGCTTGAACTCTGGGCCTGGGTGCTGTCCCTGAGCAATTCAGCTACAGTGCCACTGCCACTTCCAGCTTTCTCTGTGATTAATTGGATTTAAGTCTCACAGCCTTTCCTAACTTTGAATGTTGATCCTCAGATCTCACCCACCTGAATAGCTAGGATTACAGGCAGGAGCCACCAGTGCATGGCTAGCAGGTTTTCTTTCTTTTCTTTTTTTTGTCAATCGTGGGGCTTGAACTCTGGGCCTGGGCATTCTCCTTGTGCTTTTCAGCTCAAAGCTAGCTCTCTACCACTTGAGCCACAGCACCACTTCCAGTTTTCTAGTGGTTAATTGGAGATAAGAGACTCACAGACTGTTCCTGCCCGGGATGGCTTTGAACCTCTATCCTCAGATCTCAGCTTCTAGAGTAGCTAGATTACAGGTGTAAGCCACTAGCTAGCAGGTTTTCTTTTTTTTAATGGAAAAGAGGCAAGAAAGCATTTATTAAAACTTTACCATGTGTGTATGCTAGCTAACTTTATAAACAGCGCCTTAAAATTCCGACTGAATACTTCATTTTTGTTCTTTAAGAGTCTAGTTAGATTAGGTAAAATTCATTACAGGAATTACTGAAGTTTTAATACCATGCTATAACTAAATCTAGGAACTGTTTTTCTGGTGAGGTAAAATGAGGAAATTTCACACTTTCTTCCAAGCAAAATGAAAATATGCAGTTGATGGTAAAAATTGTAATTCCGGGTTTGTAAACTAGCATACCAGGCAAGGCGAATTCCCCCAGCTTCATCTGGGAATGTCCCAATCATCAAGCTGTAGCTTGATAGTATTTGTATCTTCCTCCAAATCTTTTTTCTCATCCAAACGGCCAGAGAGAAGGACGAAAGAGAACTTGGTCATTTCTTGCCTTTCCACTTGTCGTTGCCTTTACCTTTACCTTTCACATCTTTGACATCATCTTTCTCTTTCTTAGGCAGTTTGAAACTTCCAATTTCCCTCTGTACCACTGTGCCTCGCCACCAGGCCTGGAGCTTTATGATGCTCTTCAGTTCCAAGTCATCCTGTTCAATCTTCTTCCGAGTCTTCTCCTTTTCTATACGATCTTCCATAATGACCTGCTCATACTCCCTTATCATCTTTGCCAGTTCCTGAAGGTGTGCCAAGTCAGTGGCCTTTGCAGTCTGGAGAGCAGTTAATTGATTCTGTTTCATTTGTGTCCTTAGCAGGTTTTCTTAATTAACAGGTTATAGTCAGCTGGGAAGTAGTTTTATTCAGTATATACTTCTTTGAAGAATTTTTTACAATGAAGGAAATATATGCTATAGTAAATTCAAATAATATAAAAGTATACCAACTACCAAAAAGGATAATAGTGATGAAGAACGGTTTTACCTTTAACTTTCCTTCTTTAAACCACTGACTCAGCTGTAGAATGCCAGGCTCAAACTTATCCTTGTAATTTAACACCAGAAATCTTTCCCTTTAGTAAGAAAAAGATAATCATCAGAGAACACAATAGAAGTGAGAACCCAAAATCAAATATTCCTGCCTCTAATATCTGTTAACCCTTAAAATATTAAGATTTAGTCATACCAACTCTGCTCAGTTAAGTTTTAGATATAGTTACAAGTTTAAGTATAATAAACCTCTGCTGTTTATGTCTGTCTAGCATCTACAACCCTATTTGGCAACAGCATTATGAATTTTCCTTAGGAGACACCACCTTCATAAGACCTAACCCAGGAAAGTCAAAGCCCATAAAGCATTAGTTTTCTGAAAGCTAGGTAACTAAAAGTTACCCATTGCACTAGTTTAAAAAAATATATTTTCGGGCGCTTGTGGCTCACGCGTGTAATCCTAGCTACTCAGGAGGCTGAGATCTGAGGATCGAGGTTCAAAGCCAGCCTGGGCAGGAGAGACTGTGGTTTAAAGCCAGCCTGGGCAGGAGAGACTGTGAGACTCCTATCTCCAATAAACCACCAGAAAACCGGAAGTGGCGCTGTAGCTCAAGTGGTAGAGCGCTCGCCTTGAGCTGAAGAGCTGAGGGACAGCGCCCAGGCCCAGAGTTCAAGCCCCACGACCGATAAAAAAAAAAAAGTATATATTTTCAAGTTTTATTAAATAAGGAAAAACTAAGTGCAGAACGTTACATTTCATATACATGTAGGATAATTAAACCCCATTTAATGTGGTAATAAGAGCAAAGGAAAAGAACACACACCTTGTGATGTTTCTTTCCTTTTGTATTGCCTCTGTGGCAGGGGGCAGAGGGGGAGGATAAGGCACATCTTTATTGTACTGGGAAATCTGACCACACAGGATGACGTGGCTGTTCTGATTCATCTGTACAGAGAACAATGGAATATTATACATAAAATAAATGCCTTCCCTAACAACTGATTTAATTGTTGCCTCAACAAAAGCCTCCTTGACCTCTATATTTAAACCTTTATTGCCGACTAACTGGGTTTGTTTTAAAGAGTTACCCATTTTATGGATTTGTTATTGTCAGTCATAGGTCTTGAACTCTGGGCCTGGGGGCTGTCCCTCAGATCTTCAGCTCAAGGCTAGCACTCTACCACTTGAGCCACAGTGCCACTTGCAGTTTTCTGGTGATTAATTGGAGATAAGAGTCTCATGGACTTTCCTGCCTGGGCTGGCTTTGAACCGTGATTCTCAGATCTCAGCCTCTTGAGTAGCTAGGATTACAGGTGTGGGCCACCTGGGGCCCAGCTCATTTTATGGTTTTTGTTTGTTTGTTTCTTGGTGGTGGTGGTGGTCCTGGTGCTTGAACTCTGGGCCTGGACGCTGTCCCTCAGCTCTTCAGCTCAAGGTAAGTGCTCTACCACTTGAGCCACAGCGCCACTTCCGGTTTTCTGGTGGTTTATTGGAGATAAGAGTTTCACAGACTTTTTTGCCCACTCTGGCTTTGAGCCACAATCCTTAAATCTCAGCCTCCTGAGTAGCTAGGATTACAGGCATGAGCCACCAGTGCTCAGCTCATTTTATAGTTTTAAGAGTTTTAATTAACTAAAAATAAGCCCATTCCAAAATAATATAAAGGCAAATTAAAGTATGTAGTCAGCAAAATAATTACATTAGTTGTTAGTATTGTTGCTATTTTTATTAATGGAGGTGGTTATTTTTTTAAATAATTTGATCTTAATTGCAGACAATTTACACATAGTAAAGGTCTATCTATTGTTAATAATTCATTGGTGTTTTATACCATTATCAATAAAATACATAAGTATGTACAATCATATACTTACTCAAACTAGAGGCCATGGCTATGAGACTCATGATAAGTTAGGTCAGAACTTCCACCATTTCAGGGGCTGGGAAGGTAGCTCAGTGGTAGAGTACATGCCTTGCAAGCATGAGGCCCTGGATTCCATTCCTCAGTACCACATAAACAGAAAAAGCCAGAAGTGGCGCTGTGGCTCCAGTGGTTAGAGCGCTAGCCTTGAGCTGAAGAGCTGAGGGACAGCGCCCAGACCCAGAGTTCAGGCCCCATGACCGGCAAAAAAAAAAGAACTTCCACCATTTCAAAAACACAGCCCTAAGTTTTCACAGAAAGTTTTTTTTTTTTTCTGTCATGGGGCTTGAACTCTGGGCTTGGGCACTGCCCTTGCGCTCTTCAGCTCAAGGCCAGCACTCTACCACTTGAACCACAGCGCCACTTGTGGTTTTCTAGTGGTTTATTGGAGGTAAGAGTCTCATGGACTTTCCTGCCTGGGCTGGCTTTGAACTGTGACTCTCAGATCTCAGCCTCCTGAGTAGCTAGGATTACAGGCGTGAGCCACTGGTGCCCGGCCACAAAAATAATTTGAAGGTGAAAATGTAATATTACTAGGCAAGACCTAAACCTGGAGTTTAGAGTGCAAATCTGAAAGCAAATGAAAATTGGTCTCAGCAAGCTCTCCTGTGTCACTTCAATACAAACATTATTATATTGTCACTTAAATAAACTGTATAATTTTAGGTCTCCCCCAGGATCATTTAAAAAAGACAACACAAGTAAAATGCATACTCAAATTTGTAACAAATACAAGCCAGAAAACCACCTGACTTATCACTGTATCACTTATGTCACCACCAACGTTGTCAAAGTAAACATCCACTCCAGCTGGACAGGATTCTTTGAGTTGTTCTGCCACATTCCCTCTTTTATAATTAATTGCAGCATCAAAGCCCAGTTCTGAGGTCAAAAGGACGCATTTCTCAGGTGTTCCACAAATTCCCACCACTCTGGAACAGCCCAGCAAGCGGCCAATCTAAGGGGGAAATTTTTGAAAACTAAATGGCTTTATATATTTTTATATTTAAATGTTTAAATGTAAAAGTACACAAGGTATTACAAATAAATGAGTAATCATCACAATTTAGGTTAGATTACACTGCTATATTAGCTATATGAAATTTGAAACCCAAAGAACTGAGACAGCCTTAAAATTAAAACTGAATAAAAATTTTAAAAATCACAATTTAAATCTGATTTTATAGAATAGACCGAAAATATTGCTCTCTTACAGTTGAATATTTTTCAAGCCTGTGAGGAGCTAAAATCATAGCTAAAGTATAGTGTCAGAGTCTTACCCCTATAATCCTAACTACTCAGGAGGCTAAAAAACTGAGGATTATAGTTAAAAGCCACCTAGGAAGAAAAGTCCAAGAGATTCCTTTTGCAGTTAACTAGTACTGGAGGTAATGTTCAAGTGGTAAAGAATGATCTGTGAGGGCTGGGAAGGTGGCTCAGTGGTAGAGCGCTTGCCTTGCATGCAGGAGGCCCTGGGTTCGGTTCCTCAGCACCACATAAGCAAAAAGAAAAAAGCCGGAAATGGCGCTGTGGCTCAAGTGGTAGAGCCCTAGCCTAGAGCTGAGGGACAGCGCAAAGGCCGGGAGTTCAGGCCCCATGACCAGACCCCCCCCCACCAAAAAAAAAAAAGAATCATCTGTGAGCAAGCAAGCCAATCAAGAGCATGATAAGAGGTCCTAAGTTCAAGTACCAGTCAAAAAAGGCCTAAATATTTATAAAATGATGAACTTTGTACAAGTCTATCAAAACATTTACTACATTTCTAGAATTTCATAATGCTTTCTTACTTAAGGATTTCTTACTTGAGAATTTTTTTTTCTTTTTATGCCAGTACTAGGGTTTGAACTTTAGATTTGTACTCTTGCTTAGCTTTCCAGCTCAAGACCGGCACTCTACCACTTGAGACATAACTCCACTTCTCCTTTTTTGGTGGTTAATTGGAGGTAAGACTCTCATGGACTTTTAGCCTGGCTAGCTTCAAACCAAAATTTCAAGGATTTTTCTTTTTCATATTATTATTAAAATTATTAAAATATTTTTTTTTACTGATCCTGGGGCTTGAACTCTGGGCTTGGGTGCTGTCTCTGAGCTTCTTTTGCTCTAGGAAAACGCTCTACTACTTGAGCCACAGCACCAATTCCAGCTATTTTGAGTAGTTTATTGGAGTTTCCTGCTTAGGCTGGCCCCGAACCACAACCCTCAGATCTCAGCCTCCTGAGTAGCTAGGATTACAAGTGTGAGATACAAGCACCTTGCTATGCAAATAATTTTAAGTAGGTAATAACATTTCTACCAGAAATATGAGAAATAATAGCATAAATTTATTAATTAAAAATTACATAGGTACATCCAAAAATTCCCCTATGGCTACTTAAACAACAACAACAAAACTAAATCCTCAAAAATTTACCTGTCCAGCCAAGGATCCACAGGCACCAGCTGCTCCACTGACCACCATTGTCTGATTAGATCCAGCAGTTATATGACCTCTTTCCTGCACTCCAATCAAGGAAGTCAAACCAGGCATACCTATAGCTCCAAGAAAATACGAAAGATGTCCATTCACAAGTTGTGGTTCTACCTAAAATAAAATACAGAGCTTTTTAACAATATTAGAAATTCCTATTTAAGACAGCAAAGCCTGATACCCAGTGGCTCATGCCTGTAATCCTAAATTATACAGGAGGCTAAGGAAGTCCATGAGACTCTTATCGCCCATTAACCACAAAAATTAAAAAAAGCCAGAAACAGAGCTGTGGCTTTAAATGGTAGAGTGTTAGCCTGGTACACAAAAATTCAGGGACAGCGCCCAGGCCCAGTGCTCAAGCTCCAGGACCAACAACAACAAAAATATATTCTACCTATTATGGATTGGATCAGGTTCCCTATCCCAAGTTCTTACATATATCTCTACCAGGTGCTAGTGTCTCTTGCCTGTAATCCTAGGTACTTAGAGAGGCTGAGATCTGAATATCACAGTTTGAAGCCAGCACAGGCAAGAAAGTCAGTGAGACTCTTAGCTCCAATTAATCAGAGAAAAAGCCAGAAGAGGCCCTGTGGCTCAAGTAGTAGAGCAGTAGCTTCGAGCAAAAAGGAGCTAAAGCACAGCACCCAGGCCCAGAGTTTGAGCCCCAGGACTGGCCAAACAAACAAACAAAAAACAAAATCACACATCCCAATGTAACTATATTGGAAATAGAGCTTTTAGGGTGACACTTTTAGGGTGACACAATGGTGCGGCCCTGAACCAATGCTCTTGTGCCCTTAGAAAAAGAAGCAGGCATAACATAGAAAACATACTCAGCCAGCCTGTGGTGATTTGTTATGACAGCCCAGACTAGTAACTCATTATAATCCAACAGTAAGCCATTCTTTAGTCTTGTTAAAATTCCAATCTATTAATAAAGAGTAAAAAAAATCCAAAAGACAAAAAATCAATAGTCTGTTTATGTTAACTTTAAAAATAATTCCTGCATTAAAAATAAAAACTATCCTTTCTTGTTAGTTCCTTATGTGTGTCAAAAGAAAGGAAATGCTTAATGGGAAAACACTAAGCGAAGTTGGAAGGCTTTTAAATTTCTGAGCAATTCCAAAGCAACCAGGACGAGGAACAATGGCACATCTGTAGTGCCAGCTACACAGGAGACCAACACAAGAAAACTGTATGAGTCCAAGAATTCAAGACCGGTCTAGGCAACAGTCTTGAGAACCTCATCTCCAAAGAAAGAGAGAGAGAGAGGAAGAGAGAGAGAGGGAGAGGGAGGGAGGGAGGAGAGGAGGAAGGGAAGGAAGGAAGGAAAGAAGGAAGGAAGGAAGGAAGGAAGGAAGGAAGGAAAGGAAAAAAAGGAAAGAAAGGAAGGAAAGAGAAAACCCCTCCAACTCCAACAGTTTACATTACTGATGCTTATAATAACAAAAGTGGCCAGGAATATAATCCCAGCTATTAGAAGACTGAAGCAGGAAAGTTTCAATTATACTGGCTTCACTAGTAAATAATATTACATACATGAAATATTTCTGTGTACTATCAAAACTTTCCAGTGAATCTGTTACCTTTATTCATGTACCGGATTTAACTGATAGCCATTGAAAACTACTGCCAGCTTGCCAGCTGTGGTATGACAATTCTATAATCCTGGGAGTTGGCAGACTACACACAGGAGAAATTTAAGGCCGGCATGGGCTAGATAGTGAGTTCCAGGCCAGTTTGAACTATATAGTTAGACCCTATCTTAAAACCAACCTGAAAAACTAATGAATACAAACTTATTTTATTTTGTTATGATACTGAACTAAAAATAAACTGACTTACTGATTAATTTCAGATCTGCTAAATTTTAGCCAAAATTATTCAATTTCTTAAAAAGACTAACTCTTCAAACACATGGCAGTCCATGGGCATATTAAGAGAGGCAAAGATTTTTGTTATTGTTGTGTTCTACCACTCTGGAACTGAACCACAGAGCCTGGATAACAAGCACAGAGCCTTAGGTGTACCTAGGCAAATGCAGTACACAAGGCAGTTCTTGATTACAATTAGTATTTTTTTGTCAGTTGTGGGGCTTGAACTCTGGGCCTGGATGCTGTCCCTCCACTCTTCAGCTCAAAGCAAGTGCTCTACCCTTGATCCATAGCACCACTTCCAGTTTTCTGGTGGTTAATTGGAAATAAAAGTCTCATGGACTTTCCTGCCCATACTGGCTTTGAACCACAATCCTCAGATCTTAGCCTCCTGAGTAGCTAGAATTACAGGTGTGAGCCACCAGTGCTCGGCTTGGTTACAATTATTAATAGAAAGGTAGTAGTAGTCCAGTAGTGGAACAGGCAGTTGATGAGAAAACATCTATCTTTTCAAGCTACAATAGTTTTTGTGCAAGGTCAACCTGTACTACACAGTGAGTTACAGTTCAGTTTGAGCTATATAGTGAGACCCTATCTCAAAAAACCAGAGGCCTAAATCAGAGCTGGTGGCTCATGCATGTAATTCTAGTTATTCAGGAGGCCAAGATCTGAGGATCAAGATCAAGATCTGAAACCAGCCTGGGAAGGAAAGATTGTGAGACTCTTATCTCTAGTTAACCACACACACAAAAAGCTGGAAGGATATCTGTGACTCAAGTGTTAATAGTACCATACTTTAGCAAAAAAGCTAAGGGACAGCACCCAGGCCCTGAGTCCAAGACCTAGTACCCACATACATTCACACACATACACACACATTTGTATTATTAATATTTTTCTAGACAGACACCAGTGGCTCATGTTGGTAATCCTAGCTACTCAGGAGGCTGAGATCTATGGATCACAGTTCAAAGCCTGGACAGGAAAGTCTGTAAGACTCCTATCTCCAATAAACAACTCAGAAAAAGCCAGAAGTGGCACTGTGGCTCAAGTGGTGGAGTGCTAGCCTTGAGCACAAAAGATCAGGGAAAGTGCCCAAGCTCTGAATTCAAGCCTCAGGACTGGCAAAATTAAGTAATTAAATAAATAAATAAAATTAATTTTAAAATATTTTATAAAATTTGAGTCACATTTTATCATGGCACTTATCTTCATATCTACTTGTAGCTATTATTTTTTATTTTGCATATTAAGAAACATGAAATTACATAAAATATTTCCTTATTATACCTCAATTAGATTTAATTATATAAAACTGCCATTTGGGGCAGGTTAAAGCATATTTGGTAATTTCATATGATTCAACCTGAGTTGAACTGAACTCAAGATTCTGACAGGAGATGAAATTTCAATTACAAAGCCAATGAGTTTCTGTGGCTATTTCTCAGGAATTTTTTTTTGTTTGTTGGTTGGTCATGGGGCTTGAACTCTGGGTCTGAGCGCTATACCTCAGCTCTTCAGCTCAAGGCGAGTGCTCTACCACTTGAGCCACAGCACCACTTCCAATTTTCTGGTGGTTTATTGGAGATAAGAGTCTCACAGATTTTTTTTGCCCGGGCTTGCTGTGAACTGTGATCCTCAGATCTCAGCCTCCTGAGTAGATAGGATTACAGACGTGAGCCACTGGTGCCCGGCTTCAGGAAATTTGTTAATATATCTAAGGAATTACCGCTTTTATAATATATTTTGGATGCTTAGCTCACGTTTTACACATATAGTTTGAGAAATAAATGAAATATAGAAGATGATAACATTTCTGGTAATCTATGAACTCTTACATAAAGTTAGAGTAGAAAAAGTGGGAAGGAAGGTAGCTAAAAGAAAATCATATAAATGTAGAAAATAAGAATTACAAATGTGAAAAAGATAAGATCGTTTTATATTATACATCACCTTTTCAAGGCCATCCCCATCTAGAATAGCTTTAGTTTGCCAGGGCCAATAAAAAGAAGTCACAACATTGCCTTTGGTTAAGTTTGTGTGCTTGCTTTCTTCTACAATTCCAATACCGCCACCATCTACCACCTGAGATAGCTGCCAAGGTGCTAAGTAATCACTGCCAGTGTCTTCATTCATCTTACAACGCTGAAAAAGAAAGCATTAATTTTGTTAACTAACACAGTTTATTAATTTTTCTCAGTTGGTAAAAGAAAAGTATAAGTCAAACAAATAGAAATAAAATTTGTTTATTTCCCTTTCCATTATTTTTTTCTGGAAAAAAAAAGTATAACTACTAAAGAATTATAATTATGCCAAGGGCCACACTTCGTAATCTTAGCTACTCAGGAGGCTGAGATCTGAGGCTCAAAAAGCCAGCCTGGGCAGGAAAATCTGTGAGAGCCTTATCTAATTTAACGATCAAAAACCAAAGTAGAGGTGTAGTTCAAATGCAACCTTGGGGTACAAAAAGTAAGGGAGAAGTAAGGTGCAGGTTTCTCATGCCTGTAATCCTAGCTGCTCAGGAGGCTGAGAGCTGAGGATAGCAGTTTGAAGCCAGCCCAGCTTGGAAATTACCTGAGATTCTTATCTCCAATAAAATACTCAGAAAAAGCTGGAAGTGGTACAGTGGCCCTAAGTTCAAGACCCAGGACCAAGCCGGGCGCCGGTGGCTCATGCCTGTAATCCTAGCTACTCAGGAGGCTGAGATCTGAGGATCACGGTTCAAAGCCAGCCTGGGCAGGAAAGACTGTGAGACTCCTATCTCCAATAAACCACTAGAGAACCGGAAGTGGAACTGTGCTTCAAGGGGTAGAGAGCTCACCTTGAGTTGAAGAGCACAGGGACAACACCCAAGCCCAGAGTTCAAGCCCTACGACCAACCAAAAAAAAAAAAAGGCCCAGGACCACCACCACCAACAACAAAACTTAGGACAGCACCCAAGCCTTGAGTTTAAGCCCCAGGACTGGCACATAAAAAAAAAAAAGTAACGGAGGTACATAGGCCCTGAATTCAAGCTTCAGTACCCCCACAAACAAACAACAATAACAAAAACAGATACACAGACCAATGGAACAGAATAGAGAGCCTAGAAATCAATCCACAAATTTACACTGATTTCTAATAATGATGCTAGGAACATACAATGGCAAAAAGACAGTCTCTTTAATCACACTTGAAAAATAACATCACATACCGAATATAGAGCTCTTCATACTATACACAAAAAGTAGCTCAAAATATAAGGCTAAAATATTATAACTAAAACTATAAGACTCTTAAAACCTACAGCTAAATCTTCATTATCCAGGGGGAGGCACAGACATTTGTTGTTGTTGGTCATGAGGTTTGAACTCAGGACTTGAGTTCTATTCCTGAGCACTTTTGCTCAGGGCTAGTGCTCTACCAGCTTTCTGGTAGTTAACTGGAGATAAGAGTTTCACGGACTTTCCTGCCCGGGCTGGCTTTGAAACCCAATCCTAAGATCTCAGCCTCCTGAGTAGCTAGGATTACAGGTGTGTGCCACCAGTCCCCAGCTCAAAAACTTCTTAGGTACAAGACCAACAAAAATTTTAAATGACAACAGAAATTAGGTAAGTTGGTCTTCTATCAAAATTAACCAATGTGAGCAGCTCCTGAGCGCTTTGTAGGTTTCGTCGTTTCTGGACGTGGTTCCTCGTCGGGGTTGGAAGCCGGGGCCGCACCTCTCTGGTGGCCCTACTGACCAGCCGTGCCCCTCAGATGAGAGCTGCACCCAGGCCTCCTGCAGCCCAGCCTCCAATGGCAGCCCCAGCATCTGCTATGGGCTCTCCTGCAGCCACTCCCCGGCAGCCTGGGCTGATGGCCCAGATGGCGTCCACAGCTGCTGGTGTAGCTGTGGGCTCTGCCGTTGGGCACACACTGAGCCTTGCCATCACTGGCGCTTCAGTGGAGCTGGTAATGCTGAGCCTGCCAGGCCGGACATCACTTATCAGGAGCCCCAGGGAACTCAGCTGGCGCAGCAGCAGCAGCAGCTTAGTGGCCCATGCTCCTATGAAATAAAGCAGTTTTTGGAGTATGCCCAGAACCAGGATGATTTTAAGCTCTGTGAGGGCTTCAATGAGGTGCTGAAGCAGTGCAGAATTGCAAATGGACTAGTTTAACCATGAAGTTCAAGCTGAAGAAATAGAAAATCACCTCTGATGACCAAGTTAATTTAACATGGAACTGTAATTGGTAGTGACACTATAGAGTGTAAAACTATAAGTTAACTTCTTGTTGTTAATTGCATAGTTGCCTCAGAGTGGCCATGGAAGAGGGTATTGTGACTCTTAATACAGCTTCACTGAGATGGGATAGAGTTGGGGCTGACAGGTGTTTGTGTGGCCTTCATTGTTCTGATGTCATTTTGAGTTAATTAAAATAAACTGATTTCTTCCACAAAAAAAAAGACAATTGAATTAGAGAAAATATTTACAGGTCATATGTCACATCAAATGCATTTATCTAAACCAGAATACCAGTGGCTCACATCTATAATCCTAGCTAGAGGAAGCTGAGCTGTAAGGATCTGGGTTTGAAGCTAGCCTGGTCAGAAAGTCTATGAGACTCTTATATCCAATAAACCACCAAAGAAATAAACTGCTTTGGTGAACAGCAACTTCTTTGTACAATTACATAAAGATAATAAAATATTTAAAAACAAAACTACTAAAGCTCAAAGCTGGAAATGGAGCTGGGGCTCAAGTGGGAGAGCCCTAGCTTTAAGCAAACAGTTCAGGGACAGTGCCTAGCCCCTGAGTTCAAGCATATGCATACACATGCATACACACACACACACATACACACATACCCATACACATACACACACATACACACATACCCATACACACATACCCATACACACACATACATACACACAGAGAACACATATTTAGAATATGTAAAGAACTCTTTCAACTCATTAATAAAGATGTAATTCAGTGTTTTAAATGCTTAACAAATATGAATAGAAATTTCCTTCAAAGAAGATAAACAAGCCAGGCGCCGGTGGCTCACACCTGTAATCCTAGCTCTCAGGAGGCTGAGATCTGAGGATTACGGTTCAAAGCCAGCCCAGGCAGGAAAGTTCCTGAGACTCTTATCTCCAATAAATCCCCCCCCCCAGAAAATCGGAAGTGGTGCTGTTGCTCAAGCGGTAGAGCACTCGCCTTGAGCTGAAGAGCACAAGGACAGCGCCCAAGCCCAGAATTCAAGCCTCACGACCGACAAAAAAAAAAAGATAAACAAATGGCCAAAAGTACATGCAAATGTACTCAAAATTAACCATCAAAGAAATATAAAACAAAGCCACAATGAGATACCACTTTTACATCAGCTAGAGTGGCAATAACCAAAATGAATGACATATGTTAATGAGGTTGTGGAGAAACAAACTCTCACTGCTGATGGAATGGTTCCCTAAAAAGGTTAAACACAGGGACAGCCAGGCACTGGTGGCTCACGCCTGTAATCCTAGCTACTCAGGAGGCTGAGATCTGAGGATCGCGGTTCAAAGCCAGTCTGGGCAGGAGAGACCGTGAGACTCCTATCTCCAATAAACCACCAGAAGTGGCGCTGTAGCTCAAGTGGTAGAGCGCTCGCCTTGAGCTGAAGAGCTGAGGGACAGCACCCAGGCCCAGAGTTCAAGTCCCACGACCGACAAAAAAAAAAAAAAAGGTTAAACACAGGGACAAAGAGTGAACAAATGCAGCAGTACTCACTGGATACTATGTTGAAAATGAACTGGACATCTTATGGGTGAGGACAGGAAGGAAAAACTGGGAGACAGTGAGGGAAGGGGTGATGCTCTCCAAAAAGAAATGTACTCTTATTACCTGACTTATGTAACTGTAACCCCTCTGTACATCAGCTTTATAAGCACAATAAAAAAAATTTAAGGTTAAACAGTTACCATAAGACTTAACAATTTTACTCCTAGGTATACACCTAGGATAAATAAAAGGTAGTCTAAATAAAAACTTGTATGTAGCATTTAGGGAGATTATAATGAAACTCGTGGTACTATTGATATATGCTAAAATAGAAAAAAATAGCAAAATATTCATAATAGCCAAACTGGAAAGCCCCATGTCTACTAATTGCTAAATCAATGACAAAATATTGAATATCCAGATAATGCAAAATAATTCAGCAACAAAAAGAACTGATACATTATAGCTTAATTAACTTTGTAAGTATACTACATAAAAGAAGCCAGACACAAAAGGTATATATTGTACGCTTCTACTTAAATGAAATATATAGTACAGGTAAACCTAGGAAGAAAGAGTAAGTTAATAGATGTACCGGCATGATGTGCAGGAGAATCTCAAGTTAGGAGCTCCCCTGAGCTACACAGACTCTGTCTCAAAATAAGGAAAGAAACAGGGTTGGGAAAGAGGGTGAAAAAAGAGAAGCAGCAAGAGAGGAGTCTCATATACATAGCCTGCCTTATAAACCAGATCTGTCAGAGAATTTTCAAATATTTTACTACCTCCAAGCTATAAAAGAACCTGGCCAGCCATTATTTTTAGAAATATAATCCTTTTGACAAATCCATAAATATAATCCATTTTATCATTGTCAGTAAATAAGAATAAAGGCAATCCATAATTCTCAGTAACAAACATATAATTGCCCAAATATGCATCAGTCCTAAACATTACACAATAAAATTCTGATATGGAAAAAATAATATTTTTCACCAAGTTATAAAACCTTTGATTCTTACCATGTAAGGATCCACAGAAAGATAAAGAGTTCTGACTCGCACTTGTCCTTCATTGATGCTCTCTGGTAAAGTGACTTCTTCCATTCGGAAATTCTCTGCTACTGGATTACCATTTTTCCCTAAAATATCAGTCAAAAACATGAATTCAGTTAAGCACCAGTGGCTCACGCTTATAATTCTAGCTACTCAGGAGGCTCTGAAGCTCGACATTCGAAACAAGCCTAGACAGAAAAATCTCCAAAACTCTCTTAATCTCTAACTAACCCAGAAAAAAAGGTCAGCCTTGAAGCATAGATCAAGTGGTAGACTGCTAGCCATGGGTGAAAAACTGAAGCCAAAGATAAGGTCCTGAGTTCAAGCACATACCAACACACACACACACACACACACACATAGAAATATATCAGCCAAAATAAAATATTAGGTAAGTTATTTCCTCCTTTTAAAAAGCAGATACTTAAATGAAATTTTTATAGTAAAGTCTTAAAATCTAGGAAATTAAAAAGAGCTAAGGGCGCTGTCCCTTAGCTCTTCAGCTCAAGGCTAGCACTCTATCACTTGAGCCACAGTGCCACTTCCAGCTTTTTTCTTTTTGCTTATGTGGTGCTGAGGAATCGAACCCAGGGCCTCATGCATGCAAAGCAAGCACTCTACCACTGAGCCACCTTCCCAGCCCCGGAAATTAAAATTTTTAACATATAAGGAAAAGGTATACAGAAATGTCATCACTAAATATTTGCTTTATGTTTAACAGAAACAAACTTCCTGGTCAAAAAATAATTAAATTTCTAAGGTGAGACATGAATACAAAGATCCTAATTGATGGACATGGTGATACAAAACTCCAAGCTACTCAGGATGCACAAGTAGGAAAATAAAAAATCCAATGTTGCTCAGACAATAAAAGTAAACCCCTATCTGAAAAGTAACTAAAGCAAAAGGGACTAATTCAAGTAGTAGAGCACTTACCTAGCAAGCATAAAGCCCTGAGATACCACTAAAAATAAATAAATATATCTTAACCTAATTACTCACTCCATTAAAACTGAGGTTAGAAAAGTTGAACAACTTTTTCTGGACACAGTAGTAGGTGCAGCAAAACCAAGGTATCAGTGGCCTCAAACTTCTCAGACCCCAAACCCCATATCTAAGTTTTTATGATTCAAGAAATTGTCAGCACTGATATGTCAGTGTATTTCACATAAAGCAGAAAAGCAAATTTTAAAAATCAACAATACATACTATAAAGAAAAATTCATGCATATTAGTAATAAAATCTTCCAAGAATATCAACAAATGGCATTACATTGTTTAGTTTCTTCTGACATATTTACTAGTCTTAATATCGTACTACTTTAATTTACCACATTGATACATGAGCTTTCTTTTATTAGCTTACATTATGGGAAATTTCATTGTTCATTTCCACAGTTATGATATATTCCAATCAATCTCACCCTGTCTATCACTCTCCCTTTTCCTCTTTCCCCAAAATAATTTTCAATAAGTTTCATTGTTCTAATTTTTGTTGTTGTGTTTGTTTTTTTGCCAGTCCTGGAGCTTGAACTTGTGGCCTGGGCACTGTCCCTGAGCTTCTTTTGCTAAAGGCTAGCACTCTACCACTTGAGCTACAGTGCTACTTCCACCCTTTTCTGTTTATGTGGTACTGAGGAATTGAACCCAGGGCTTCATGCATGCTAGGCAAGTACTCTACCACTAAGCTACAATCCCCACCCTTCACTGTTCTATTTTAATAGTTGTCAACAACCTACTTCTATATTCATCCCTTTTATTTTCTTCTTGTTAGCCCAAACCCTTCTCACTACTACTGAGCCTCCAACAGAGCTCATTTCTCTTTCCCCATACCTTCCAACCTCTATTAATCAACTGTTTTCATTGAAGTTCTTCATGTTGTCATATATAATTGCAGTGTATCTCAATATGCATCCCCTATCCTTTTTCCTTCCTTCTCCCCTTCTCCTAAATAGCCCCTTAGATTCATGTTCTCTATGAATCCATATATATTTAATTATATGGATGGATTTATATATATGTAATCATTAATTTTTACCTTTTTATTCACTGAAAATTATTAAAGACTGAAGTTGTTCACTAACCATTGACAAATACATACCAGGTCGGGAATTCAATACCACTCTTTGTACAATCATCACTCTGTGCAGCAGTGTCACAAATTTCAATATAAAATAATCCCTATAAATAAAAAAATTAAATCACTAGAAAGATCTGCAGTATTTAATCATTTAAAACAAAAAAGAAGTCCAATTGTGCTTCTGAAGAAGAAAAAATTATGTTTAGGATCCAAAAAGGATATACCACCCTGTACAAGTGTGCCTCCTAAGGCAAAGAGAAGAAAACTAAATGTAGTTAGAATCTTGAGCTAGTAGGAATAAGTTCCCTGAAGGCTGAATGAATCAAAATGGTTTTGCCTCAGATAATTCAAGGACATTCATCTTCACACCATTTTGACTCAGCATCCTACTACAAGTTTGATTAAAACAAAAACATGATATATTCCTCTAGAGCTAGTCAGTTGATCCAGTAACAAAATAAAATGATTAACCGGGGATCAGGATATACCTCAGTAGTAGACCTCTTGCCTAACATATATAAGGGCCTGGATTCAATCCCAAGCACCACCACAATCACCAGAAAAGAAAATTAAAAAGTTTACATGAGCTGAGTGCCTGTGACTCACATTTGTAATCGGAGATCTGAGGATTGCAGTTCAAAGCCAGCTCAGGCAGGAAAGTCTGTGAGACTCTTCTCTGAGATCTGAGGATTGCAGTTCAAAGCCAGCTCAGGTAGGAAGGTCTGTGAGACTCTTCTCTCCAATAAACTACTCAGAAAACCGGAAGTGGTTCAGGGGCTCAAGTGGTAGAGCACTAGCCTTGAGCTGAAGAGCTGAGGGACAGGGCCCGGGCCCAGAGTTAAAGCTCCATGACCAACAACAACAAAAAGTTTACTTGAGCTATAACTAAACTTTGAGAGCTTGTCTGAAGATTCTACCAGGGGAGAGCTGCTACTAGCATATCCTTGACTGAAGACTAGTCCTTCTGTATGGGGAATGGTCACCCACAGCTTCAGGAAGGAAAGAGGGGACAGGTATCTAGCCTACTCAACCCTGGTGAACAATGGAATGACAGATGTCAAAGCCAGATTGCCTTCACATCTACTGTAACTAAATTTTAAAGGATGTTTTATTCACTCATTAAAATAGAAATGGGGCTGGGAAGGTGGCTCAGTGGTAGAACGCTTGCCTTGCATGCATGAGGCCCTGGGTTTGATTCCTCAGCACCACATAAGCATAAAGAAAAAAGCTGGAAGTGATGCTGTGGCTCAAGTGGTAGAGCGCTAGCCTTAAGCTGAAGAGCTGAGGGACAGTGCCCAGGCCCAGAGTTCAGGCCCCATGACTGGACCCCCCCCCCAAAAAAAGAGTCTCATGGTCTGTCCTGCTCGAGCTGGCTTTGAGCTGTGATCCTCAAATCTCAGCCTCCTAAGTAGCTGGGATTATAGGCATGAGCCACCTTGCCCAGCCACAGGACTTGGTTATAGAGTGCTTGCCTTGCATGCATGAGGCCCTGGGTTCGATTCCTCAGCACCATATAAACAGAAAAGGCCATTAGTGGCACTGTGGCTCAAGTGGTAGAGCGCTAGCCTTGAGCTAGAGCTGAGGGACAGTGTCCAGGCCCAGAGTTCAGCCTCATGACCGACAACAAAAGAAAAAAGAAAAAGAAAAGAAAAGAATACATTTTATTGTTTCCCTTTTTTTTTTTTGTCAGTCCTGGGGCTGTCCCTCAACTCTTCAGGAGGCTGAGATCTGAAGATCACTGTTCAAAGCCAGCCTGGGCAGAAAAGTCCCTGTGAGACTTATCTCCAATTAACCACCAGAAAACCAGAAATGGCTTAATGTAATAGAGGGGTAGGCTTGAACAAAATAGTTCAAGAACAGCACCCAAGCCTTGAGTTTAAGCCCCTTCTCTCTCTCTCTCTCTCTCACACACACACACACACACACACACAAATTCAAATTGGCTGGGAAGGTGGCTCAGTGGTAGAGAGCTTGCCTTGCATGCATGAGGCCCTGGGTTCCATTCCTCAACACCACATAAGCAGAAAAGGCCGTAAGTGGCACTGTGGCTCAAGTGGTAGAGTGCTAGTCTAGAGCTGAAGGGCTGAGGGACAGCGCCCAGGCCCAGAGTTCAGGCCCCATGACCAACAACAACAACAAAAAAAATTCAAATTAAGTTTAATATTTGTCCTTTTTCTAATTTCAATGTTATGTTCTATTTTAAAGTCTGCACAATCCTAGCATTAACCTATAATCCTGGCAGTGGAGAGGCTGAGGGAGAAGAATCATGAGTTTGAGGACAACCTGGGCTACAGAGTAAAGCCTTGGCTCAAAATACCAAGAGCTGGGAATGTAGCTCAATAGTAGAATACTTTCCTCGCAATAGTCAAGGCTCTGAGTTTGATCCCAGCAACAAAAATAAGTAAGATTTGTGTATTGTAGAATATGTCAAAACATTGCTTTGCAGTATGAAAATACACTATTATAGTTATCTCCCTCTGCACTAAAAAAGTGCCAAATACAATTAATGAATGCAAGATTACTTGTGTGATATCCCTTAACACAACAAACATTAAAAATAGAAACTTCATTTAGTCACACGATTAGCATTTAAAATAAGGTACACCAAATTCAAGATCTCAAGGAAATGAGGGAGAAACTCAGCAAATCCGATCTGCCTGAGTACTATTTCAAAATAATGCCAAAACAGTGCCAAGCAACTGTAAAATTCACTTTGATGCCAGTCACGAGTGTCTTATGTTGCAATGTAAGAGAGAAAGATCATTTACGAACAGAGGATATGTCCTGGTTCTAACCAAGTGGAATCTTGGAAAAGTTCCGTCTCTCAGCTTGTTTCCCTCGTTTTCCTAGGTGCTACAAAACAGGGCTTGAAGAATTTTATTATCGTGTCTAACTACAACTCCTGGTCCAAACACTCACAAGAGGTTAATATCTTTGCTTTACAGTGCAGGAAGCGAAGTCAAGTAATTTGCCCCAGGTGGAACGACGCCAAAAGTCGGACTCTCAACAGATTTTGAAATATGAATTTTCTCCTATGTGGGGCTGGAAGGAAAACACATCAGGATTCACACTTGCGGAGCCAGACGAGTGCTCTACCTCTGACCTGCACCCCAACACCTTTGAGTGGACGTGCTCCTCCGTCCTTGCTCGGTTCAGTGGGTCGGTCCCGAGGGTCCGCCGCCCGCCGCCCGCCGCCCGCCGCCCGGGCCTGACTGCGCTCTCCCACAGCCCAGCCCTCCCCCAGAGCGCCCATCACCTACTGCTCATAGGAAACTAATCACCCGTAGCTGTACCCCACAACGTCCAACTAAGAGAATGAAGTCTCCGGCAGCTCTGTGCAAGGATTCCAGTCCGCGCCCCGATCGATCCATGGTGTCAGCGTCCAGAGACGCCGCCAGCACCGTTTTATCCCAACGGGAGGTCGCTTGCCCCTCACAGTTCTTAATAAAACCCCTTCTCCCGCATTCCCGATCCTAGCGTCCCAGGCAATACCGCCAGCGCCCCGCCGCGAGCTCCGGGAGGCAGCGCGCGGGCGCTCCGGATGCCCCCGGCGGGGACCTGCCGCGCTCACCGCGATCCTCACCGCGCGCCCGCCACAGGCGGCTTCCACTGCCCGACCGTCCGTGCCCGACCGTCCGTGCCCGACCGTCCGTGCCCGACCGTCCGTGCCCGACCGTCCGTGCCCGACCGTCC